GAGATCTGTAACAGCAAGAAAATCGCAACGCAACAACAAATTGCATGTTTGGAATTGCGGTGCAATGCAGTAACAATTGCTCCCCTCCTCCCTTCCCCTGCCCTCGCAAGAGGTTCATACCTGGCTGACATTCGAGCCTACTCAAAAGTTGCCCCAGTAAAAATTATCCCCCCTCTCCTTTCCCCTTGCCTCCCCCTCCCGCTCCCCCTCCCTCTCCCCCACTCCCCATATGTAGGTGCATACCGATAAGTTCCCTCCCCCTCTCCCCACGAGGTGAGTACCTGGTAGAACGGCTGACATGGCCCTCTGGGAAGGCCTGCCACGTCAGCAGCTGCCATCCACTCTGCTGACTCACAGCACACGGGATCCACGCCCACCACCACAGCTGTATAGGCTGGAGTGGGTTTATAGGGGAGCAAAGAGTTGAACAACTGAGTTTGGGGGATAGCGTCACAAGCTCATTTGCCGATGGCATTCGCAGCACATGGAATCCACGCCCACCACCACAACTGTATAGGCTGGGAGGGGGGAGGGGAGCAATGGGAGAGGGAGTGCAGTGCAGGCAGGGGAACAAAGATTGGAGGTGGGAAACAGGACCAATTCAAAATGCCAATCACAGCACACGGGACCCACGCCCACCACCACCGCGTGTAAAAAGTGTATTTTTGAGACGTCTCAAAAATACACTTCTTACTCATGGTACGCTGGAAAGGGGAAGAGGAGCAATGGGAAAGGGAGGGAATAGCAGTATAGCGGCATAAGGAGCTGACTGGGGGATTAGCAACTGCACAAACCAGCTCGCGATGATGCCACTCACAGCACACGGCATACACGCCCACCACCACCAGAGAGGTGTAAACGAGGGTAGGGGAACGCGCCATGCCTCTTGGAATGCTGAACAAGCTGCCCCAACCGTCTCTCACCTCCCACTTTTAATGTATCTGAGGGGGCCTCAACATCCCCCCTCCCCCCTCCCCCCTCCCCCCCCCCCCTCCCCCCTCCCCCCCCTCCCCCCCCCCTTCTCCCTCCTCCCTCTTCCCTACTTCTCCCCTTCCTAATTACGCACGCACCATATCTGTAGTGCTGCACTCGCTGCCCCAACTGAAATCGACACCTCACCGCCCCCGCTTCCTCTTCCCCTTCCCCTGTATTTCCCTTGTATGCTGCCCGCTGCAGCTCCTCTCTGCAAAACGGGCAGGCGGGCAGCCGGACAGAAAAACAGGGGGTGACGGGGCAGAGTAGGGAGGGGAGGCCGGGGCGGGCGCGCGGGGGAGGGAGAAGGGGAGAGGCGGAACGTGGGTGGAAGGGTCAATGAAGGTCAACGCAAGTCAATCCAGTCAATGATCTTCGTTGACAGTCAACGGTGGAAATTCCACGGTGACAAGGTGGCGGATTAGCCGCAAGTCAACCCAGTCAACGAACTCAGAGGAGCTGTGCCAGTCACAGTAATTCAGCCTGTCAGGCTGATGAACTGAACACTAGTCAAGAATAGTCAACAAAGTCAACGCACTTTAGGGTTTGCATGCAGAGAGATCCATCCTCCACCAACGGTGACATGCAGCTAAAACTGCTGCCGCCGCCATCGCCGCCACTGCTGCTGCTGCTGCTGCTTCCCACGACGTAAGGGGCGGCGGACGAGACGGCGGCGGGGGCGGCGGAGGAGGCGGCGGAGGGGGCGGCGGAGTGGTTGGCAGGGATGAGGGGAGGCGCGGCAGAGGGGAAGGAAACGGCCGCTTTGGCGTCTCGTTGCCGCGCCGTCTCCCTGTCAATCTCAGCAATTTTTTCTCGTAGCTCCTGCGCTGCTTCGTACTGGTCCGCTTGGAGCGCCCTCTGCGCGGAAACGGGGACACGCGAAGGGAGAAGGAAGAAAAGGGGGAAAGTGGGGAGGGGAAGAGGGGGGAAGGAGGGGGGGAGAAAAGCGGAGGGGCTGTTTAGTAGTCAATCCCCGCTACCTTCTCCTGAACTACTGCGCTGTTTCGTACTGGTTCTTTAAGGGCGCTCTCCGTGTGGACAGGGGTATGTGGGGCATGGGGAGTGGATAAGGGTAGGCGGATGAGGAAAGTGGGCGGGGAGGAAAGATAATAGCCTCCCAATCGACCTCCTCTGGCTTATCCCTAAATGCGCCCCACCTGCGCCCCATCTGCGCCCACCTGCGCCCCATCTGCGCCCACCTGCGTTCTACCTGCGCCCCACCTGCGCCACACCTGCGCCCTATCTGCGCCCTCCTTGGCCATGCGGCGCCCTACCTCCAGGCGCGCGTTTAAGTCCATTCGATAGAAGAACAGCAGCAGCTCCTCATTCACCATAGCGCTATACTCCGCCTCCGCGCCGCTTCTCGACGCGCCACTACTCACCCCGCCCCCGTTGCCGCCCGCGCCGCCGCAGCTGCCGCCGGGAGCTAGCGATTTATCAACGATGGGCGGAGACAGGGGCCGCCAAATAGCGTTTGGCGGTCCGTTTTGCTGCTGCTGTTGATTTTGATGTTGTTGTTGCTGCTGCTGGAATTCCTGCTGTATTTCCTGCTGTAGCTGTTGTTGCAATTGAAAGAACGTGGCAAACGTCGGGCTAGTGGGAGAGCGACACGTGTTAAAAAACGCCATCGCGGCACCCGCGGAGAGGCGCCCCGTGCGGCGCCGCGGCGTCCGCGGAGAGGCCAGGCGCGGGGAGGAGCGGCTGCGCCCCATCCGCGGGCTGCTGCCGACGGTTCCGCGGGAGAGCCCTCCGCGCGGGCAGCGCACGCGGGGAAGGCGCAAGTGGTTGGTGAAATGGGGGCTTGAAAGAACCTCCACCCCTCCGCCGTCGCCGCCGCCGCCGGCAGACATGGCGGAGCAGGCCAAGTAGGGCGCTATGCTGATTGGCGGAGGGACGAGATAGGACACTACGTTAACTGGTGGAGAGAAACGAGGGGAAGGACTAGGCGGCGAGAAGGCAACTAGAAAAAGCGACAAGATCTGGGTGAGCGTACTGATACGATGGCAAGTAGCTGCTGCGCCAGCGAATGGGCTGTGGTGCTAAAAATCAAACGGCGATTTAAGCCACAATGATTCGAAAAGAAAAGGTAAACGCGATAGGACTGTTGTGTGATGAGCTTCAGCTAAATTCTTGCTGAGAGCAAAATGCAAGTAGATGCGAATTCAAGAGATGAGCGAAGAAGGGACAAGATAGGTTTGTTGCAGAAACCAGCAAAAAGAAAGTTTGATGCAGAAATATGGGAGCGAGCATTGGGTTTCTTGCGAGCGGTGAAGGCAACGCGCAACGCAACGCAAACCTGGGAGCGATATACCGTACCACCGAAGCATCTGGAATCTGGGTCGTAGAAGGGGGGACGGGGAGATGGGGAAATGGGGAAATGGGGCGGGCTGAACTGGCTTGGTTGGAATGGGATTGGTTGAAAGGGGCAATCCGGGCAGGAATCTAGGGGCCCTTCCATGTTCGCGAAGCTAGGAGGAGCAGTATTTGCGCGTTCGATTGGGGCTCTGCCCCTGCCCGAGCGAGGCTACGTTGTAGCTATGGGGGTGGCGCTACCTGCTGTGGCGGCGCCGCATGGCGTCCCGCGGGTCGCAGGGAGTGCTGCCTGTAAATCCCGCCTCCCCCTTCGACTAGCCGCGGGAAGGGGCTTGCACGGCATGGGATGTTTTGGCGACTGGTTCGCGTGCTGTGTTGGTTGGTTGTCGCCAGCTCCGCATGAACTGCAGCTTTGTTGGTGATTTGTTGGCGACGAATTAGACGACGTGGAATTTCGTCAAACCACACAAAAAAGGGAGTTACGAAGTGCTGAACCACTTTGACGAGTCTCGCGAAAACATGATTCATGTGACCTGAGATATTGTTTGGGTTCGGATTGAGCCCGAACCAAGCGCAGGGCGGGATACCCTCCCTCACGCGTTTTGGACGCTCCGCTACAGTATGCAGTTGCGAAAACCAAATTTGTTAACTGCTACTATAATCGTCATATGTATGATTTCGTGTTGGGGTGGTGACGCTGATGTGGCGTTTCGTGCTGTCCATGCAAGCTGGTCGGCATCCCCAAGGATACCTCCAAAGTTTCAGCAGCCTCCCTGGAACCTGGAGCCAGCTCAGGAGGATGTCAGCAACTCCTCGACAGAATGTTGGACATTTCTGGCACCACCGAAGCAGAATGCCTCGAACCGAAGTAGAAGGCGCAGGGATTCCTGTCTTCAAGCCCCATTTCTGCACCATGGCGTGGACTGTCCACAGCATCACACCAAGTAGAAGCGCTTTGGAATCCTTCGCACCGAGGACATTTCTGTCGCATACCGATTCTGCATTCTTGCATCCTGAGAAAACAAATTGAGCAAACCTTTGCATAATGTCCGTTCAACTTGCGAGCATTGCATTTCTTCCAGTCTTTCAGCTGCATTCGCGTCAGTACGGACTGGCATTTTAGCACGTAGATCTCTTTTCTTTCCACCCAACCTGGTCGTGTTAGCTGGACGAGAATGGCCGAGAGTCTGGATGTTGGTCCTGGGAAATGGCTGCACAAGGTTGCGGACGCCGTTCCCGCCACTGAAGGAAGTCCGTCAAAAGGCAAGTCAATTTTGTCCTTCGCGTCAATTTGGAAAAATTCAGATGCGTTGAACCTGAACACGCTCTATGGTTAGTGGCTCCACGAGGTTGGGGACGCCGTTCCCGCTAGCGATCGAAGCCCTTTAAAGGCGAGTGGATTTCGTCTTTCGTGCCGTTTTCGAGCCAAGCCACGGATCTTATCATTTGCCTTTTCTCTAATGCTTTTTTTCTTTCGTTTTTTTTTTTTTTTTACCCTCTCCAAAATACGTGCACTGCCTCACGCCGTTCTTGAATGTACAGTCGTGTTTGGTGTACCCGACGTGATGAGCCGTTTCCGGAATCGCTGCGCGTTCTTCGGTTCTTATACGTTTGTTTCCTACGTTCCATCCACATCCGCGGTCCTTGTACAGCAGCATCCAAGAATGTATAAGAGTCGATTCAGTTAAAATCTTCGCCTTCACCCACTCCCGCAGGTCCCACGTATCGCAGCATCTACGCCAAGGATGGTTACGTCAACCTAGGCCCAGGAATCGACACCATGTGGGCCCTCTTTAAGTACGTCCCGCTCCCTGGCACTCGTTTATCCACGCGTCTTTATATCCCTCGTCGTGCATTTCAATGTTCCTATCCTATTGCGTACGTCAACCTAGGTCCAGGGTTCGACACCATTTGGACGCTCTTCAAGTGCGTCCTGTTCCGTTGCGCTCCTTAGCACACCATGTATCCATAGTTCGCGCTTTTGTTTTCAATCACTGTGTGTGTACTTCGATTCTTGAAACGCTCTGTCTTGTCATCTACCATCCTGAAACCCCTTTCTGCTCATTTCACTCCACATCTTGTTTGAAATGCGGGTCAGGAAATTGATAGAGCATATAGTTGTGACTAAATCGAGGATCTGTGTACGTGCTTCCATATTTTATCGTTACGTGGCTGTCAGGGCCTCAGTGGAGAAATTCGGCGACAATAAGTTCCTGGGGAAGCGCTCGATTGTAGATGGCAAGGTATTACCTGAAGCTCAGAACCTTGTAACGGATTGTCTTGTAACGAATGGTAGTGTCTGGAGACAATCAGTTCCTGGGGAAGCGCTCAATCGTAGATAGCAAGGTATTATTCGAGATTCAGGTATTATCCTAGTAGCGAACCGTAGTATCACGGACTGCCATGCCATGCTTTCCCGCTCCCACCCCTTCCCAACTGTTGTTTTCTCGTCTCGTTTCCCGCAACTCATCCGTCCTGCGCTCCTGTTTCCGTTGCCTCCTTACCCCTCCGCCACTCGCCACCACCTTGCCTCACCTGTCCCCACCCACTTATCCTCACCAATCCTCACGTTCCCTTACTTACATCCTCCTGCCTACTTCTCTTCTTCCTCCCCCAGGCGGGTCCCTTCGTGTGGGACACGTATTCCCAGGTGCATGCCAAGGTGCTGAGGCAGGGACCCAGTCTTGTTGCCTTTAGTCCCTCACCGCCTCCCCCCTCTCTCCTCTTTTCCCCCTCCCTCCCTTCTTCTGACCCCCTCACCTCCCCCAGGCGGGTCCCTTCGTGTGGGACACGTACTCCCAGGTGCATGCCAAGGTGCTGAAGCTGGGTCTCGTTTTGCACTTATCCCAAGCCTCACCCCTTCCCAATCCCCCTTCCCCCCACCTCTTCCTGTCCTCCCCCAGGCCGGTCCCTTCGTGTGGGACACGTACTCCCAGGTGCATGCCAAGGTGCTGAAGCTGGGTCTCGTTTTGCACTTATCCCAAGCCTCACCCCTTCCCAATCCCCCTTCCCCCCACCTCTTCCTGTCCTCCCCCAGGCCGGTCCCTTCGTGTGGGACACGTACTCCCAGGTGCATGCCAAGGTGCTGAAGCTGGGTCTCGTTTTGCACTTATCCCAAGCCTCACCCCTTCCCAATCCCCCTTCCCCCCACCTCTTCCTGTCCTCCCCCAGGCGGGTCCCTTCGTGTGGGACACGTACTCCCAGGTGCATGCCAAGGTGCTGAAGCTGGGTCTCGTTTTGCACTTATCCCAAGCCTCACCCCTTCCCAATCCCCCTTCCCCCCACCTCTTCCTGTCCTCCCCCAGGCCGGTCCCTTCGTGTGGGACACGTACTCCCAGGTGCATGCCAAGGTGCTGAAGCTGGGTCTCGTTTTGCACTTATCCCAAGCCTCACCCCTTCCCAATCCCCCTTCCCCCCACCTCTTCCTGTCCTCCCCCAGGCCGGTCCCTTCGTGTGGGACACGTACTCCCAGGTGCATGCCAAGGTGCTGAAGCTGGGTCTCGTTTTGCACTTATCCCAAGCCTCACCCCTTCCCAATCCCCCTTCCCTCCACCTCTTCCTCTCCCCCCCAGGCCGGTCCCTTCGTGTGGGACACGTACTCCCAGGTGCATGCCAAGGTGCTGAAGCTGGGATCAGCGTATCGTGCTGCTGGGCTGGATGCGGTGGGTGCAGGGAGGGCAAGGGGGTATGGGTAAAGGGCGGGAGGGAAAAGGGGAGGCCGGGAGGGAAGGGAGGGACACGTACTCCCAGGTGCATACCAAGGTGCTGAAGCTGGGTTCAGCGTACCGTGCTGCTGGGCTGGATGCTGTGAGTGCAGGGAGGGTAGGGGACGGGAGGGGGTATTGAAGGGGCGGGAGAGAAAATGGGAGGGGATCAGTATATCATGCTGTACCCAATTAGACTGCCAAGTTGGGCATCTACAGCATCGACACGCCCTATTGGCACCGTTTCCAACTCCTTCCCACCTCTGTCAACTCCTTCCTACCTGTATCTCTCTCCCCGTCAGAACGCCAAGGTGGGCATCTACGGCATCAACTCGCCTGCTTGGCAGGCACCACCTCCAACCCCTCTTCACCTCTCCCAACTCCTTCCCACCTCTCCCCCATCAGAATTCCAAGGTGGGAATCTACGGCATCAACTCGCCCGAGTGGTTTATGGCCATGGAGGTACGCTCTTGTACGAGAGGTGTGCACTGTGGGGGGGATGCGTCACAGTGAGTCTAACTGGCATGGTCCGATGGCTCTGTAACTCCTCTTCACTCACGGCATCAACTCGCCCGAGTGGTTTATGGCCATGGAGGTATGGTCTCTCTGGGAGGTGCGTACTGTGCTCTACTTGATGTAAATCCGCCCCATTCTCAATGTCACTCTGTCCCATCTACGGCATCAACTCGCCCGAGTGGTTTATGGCCATGGAGGTACGCAGTGGGATGGGAGGTGCGCACATTGTGCGGGATGAGTGAGCAGGAGGGTATGCGTCAACTCGCCTGAGTGGTTCATGCCCATGGAGGTACGCACTGTGTTGGGGGAGTGAGTGTGCTCTACTCAATATAGGACTGCCCCGTTGCTCTCTATTACTCTGTAAAGTCTACGGCATGAACTCTCCCGCGTGGTTTATGGCCATGGAGGTACGCAGTCTGGTGGGAGGTACTCTCTCTGGGAGGTGTGCACTGTGATGTTGGTAACTGCGCGCTGTGGGGGGGGGGAGACTTTTGAATCGACTCAAAAGTGACTTTTGACTTTTGACTTTTGAGTCGATTCAAAAGTCACCTACCTACGTAGTGTGGGAGGTACTCTCTCTGGGAGGTGTGTGCACTGTGGTGTTGGTAAGTGCGCGCTGTGGGGGGGGAAGCTCGACCTTGCACTGCATCTATGGCACACAGTCATTGCGCTTCCTGCATGTCTTTGCAATGCAAGTGTGTTTCCTCTGCATGTCTTTGCAATGCAAGTGTGTTTCCTCTGCACCCTTATCCCTTTTTGTTCCTCCAGGCGTGCAATTGTCAGTCCATGCAGTGCGTGCCACTCTACGATACACTGGGTGAGTCACTAGCGAGTATGGGAGCAACGATGCATACGTTGCATTCAGTGAGCTTCTCTTGTAGTGATGCTTTTGAGTTGACTCTTTTTTATGAGGCTGCGTCTTTCATCTTTAACCAAGCAGAAGTGGTTCGTCATTTGAACACCTTGGGTTCTTTCCTCTCCTCTCCCTCTTTCCCCCATCGCAGGCGCGGAGGCAGTGACCTTCATTCTCAACCATGCGGAAGTGGCTCTCGTGGTGATGCAAGCAGCCTCCTCCCCCCCCTCTGATCCCTGCTGCGTATCACACCATCCTGTCTCTGCTCGCTCACTCTCCTCTCTCTTTCCCCCATCGCAGGCGCGGAGGCAGTCACCTTCATTCTCAATCATGCCGAAGTGGCTCTCGTGGTCGTGCAAGCAGCCAAGCTGCGAGCTGTGAGTCGCTCGCTGGCCTCTTGGGTCTCGTAGGCTGCCTGCCTGGGTCTGCTCGCCTTGCCCTGTGCTCCTCTCTGCTCCATGACATGTGTTGTGCCCTTCATTCATTCATTCTACCCAACCACGCTGAAGTGGCTCTCGTGGTCGTGCAAGCAGCCAAGCTACCGGCTGTGAGTCATTCGCCTCTTGGGCCTCGTAGACTGACTGCCTAGGTCTGCTCGCCTTGCCCTGTGCTCCTCTCTGCTCCGTGACATGCCATGTGTTGTGTCTTTCATCCTCAACCATGCTGAAGTGGCTCTCGGGGTCGTGCAAGCAGCCAAGCTACCGGCCGTGAGTCGCTCAATACGAACAGAAGGGACTCTGAAGTTGAAACACATGGTTCTACTTTCCCACTGGTTATTGTGGCCTTCGCTCTCCTTGTGCCTGCCGGTCTGTCAGCCTAGTCGCTTTACTCGTCCCTTGTCCTCTTCACCCCCACTTTTCCTGCACTCCCCTCGCCTGCACTCCCCTTCCCCGCCCTCACCCCTCCTGCTATCGGCAGCTGCTCAAGAGCCTGCCTAGCTGCGCACACCTTGTTCTCATCCTTCACACCCCTTTCTCTTCCCTCTCCATCCCATCCCATGCTCTCCTCTTGCATGCATTCCCCTTGCCCTCCCTCGCCCCTCTGCTATCCGCAGCTGCTCAAGAGCCTGCCTAGCTGCACACCCCTTGCTCTCATCCCACTCCCCTTTCTCTTTCCTCTCCATCGCATCCCATGCACTCCCCTCACATGCACTCCCCTCGTGTTCCCCCCTCTGCTATCCGCAGTTGCTCAAGAGCCTGCCTAGCTGCACACACCTTGTTCTCATCCTGCACTGCACTGCACGCCCTTGTTCTCCATCATCACCCTCCCATGCACTCCCCTCGTGTTCCCCCCTCGTGTATCCACAGTTGCTCAAGAGCCTGCCTAGCTGCACTGCAAACGTCAAGAGTAAGCCCCCTGCTGCATAGGGCTCGAGGTTGGGGGTTGGGGGCTGGGGATTGGGGGCCAGGGGGCAGGGGGCAGGGGGCGGGGGGCGGAAGGCGGGGGGCCGGGGGTGGGGGGCGGGGGGCGGGTGGGGGGGGCCTGGGTGCTGTAGGGTGGGGGCTGTTCGTTTTTTACTGTTCTCTCGTTTGTCTGGTATACTTTTTCTTGCTTTCTTGCTTCTGCTATTGCTTTTTCCCCCAAGAAAAGTGCATTTCTCATACACGAAGCTCTCTACCTGCTTCGCACACACCCACCTATCGCACACTTGGCAGTTTCTGTCCCCTCGCACCCTCTCTCCCATTCCACCTTCCTCCACGAGATTGTTGGCATGGGAGTCCTGTCAGCCCTCCTGCAGAGTTTCTTTTTCTCTCCCTCCCATCTCTCAGCCAACCCCACTCCCTCCCCCCTTTCCTTTTCCCTTTCCTCTTTTCCACCTCTTTTCTCTCCCTCCTTCGTTCTACCTTTGATCCTCTTTCCCCTCCTCCCTCCCACATCTCCCCCCCACCAGCGGTGGTGAGCTTGGGGATTACTGGATGCGGATTCAGCCAAGGCGCTGACAGACATGGGCATCAGAAGCGTCACTTGGCTGTCTTAAAACAACATCTCGCCCTTCCCTGTCCCCCTCTCCCCCCACCGGCGGTGGTGAGCATGGGGGACCTCGATGCGGATTCAGCCAAGGCACTGACAGGCATGGGCATCAGAGGCGGAGTGACCCGGCAGTCTCAACTCACCCGCTGCCCTTCCTACTCCCTCCTCTGCTATGCTCTTCTCTCCCCCATCTCCCCCCCACCAGCGGTGGTGAGCATGGGGCAGCCGGATGCGGATTTAGCTAAGGCGCTGACAGACGTGGGCATCAGAGGAGTCAACTGGGACTCTCAACCACGTCTCTCATCTCATTCCTTGTTCTCTCCCCTCCCCCTGTCCCCCTCTCCCCCCACCAGCGGTGGTGAGCATGGGGGATCTGGATGCGGATTCAGCCAAGGCGCTGACAGACATGGGCATCAGGGGAGTCACCTGGGACGACTTTCTGAAAGAGGTGAGTCAATGCAGGTCAACGTCAGTCAATGCAAGTCAGTGGCAGTCAACTGCTGAGGTGCTTCCAGAAGAAGCAACGATGTCAGTCAATGCCAGTCAATACCGGTCAATGCCAGTCAGTGCTGGTCAACGCTGGTCAACACCAGTCTATGATGGTATGCTGGACCACTACTCATCCCACTCCCCTCCCCACCCGTCCTCCTCTCCTTCCATCATCCCATTCCTCCTTTCTCGGTCCCTTCACCATCCCCCCTCCCCTCACCCTCTCCTCTTCTTCACCCATCTCTCAGGGCGAGGCGAAGCCAGTGGAACCATGCCCATCCAAGCCAGAAGACATCTGCACCATCATGTACACCTCAGGTGGGTCCAGGTGCTTCCTCAGGTGGGTTCAGTGCTTGTTAAGTGGGTTAAAGTGCACCAGGTGGGTTCATGTGGTTACTCAGGTGGGTTCAGATGGTTACTCAGGTTGGTCCAGGTGCTTAGGTGAAGAGTCTTGTTACTCACTCACATCATCTATCCAGCCTTCCCTCTGATTTTTTACGCCACCCTACCACCCCACGCACGCTCAAATGGCTGTCGTTTCTCCCCATCCAACCGTTTTAAACCTCCTCTCCTCCCTTGTTGTCGCTCTCAACCGGCAGGCACCCCGGGAGAGCCCAAGGGCGTGCTTATAACTTTCACACTCGTTCTTCTCCCTCTCGCTCACCCAATCCACAGGAACCACGGGCGAGCCCAAGGGAGTGCTTATAACGAATCATGCCCTCGCCACTGCAGTAGCGGGCACCAAGCGGTTCTGCGAGGTTAATGACTACGTGGTGAGTGGGTGGGAGGAGGAGAAATAGGGGTGGAGGAAAAGGAAGGGAGATGGAAGGACTTTGTGCAAGTGTTTTGGGTAATTACCCCGCTGTTGCCTGTGCAATTCCCCCGACAGGCATCCACGTTTCCCACCTGCCTCTCGCGCACATCTTTGACCGCGTAGCAGAGGAGCTCATGACCCTTCGCTCCCAACTGTTCCCTGCCCTGCCTATTCCTCCCTCACCACCCCTTTTCCCCTTTCCCCTCTCCCACTTCAGCTCACAACGACAGACATTTACATCTCCTACCTGCCCCTGGCGCACATCTTTGACCGCGTAGCAGAGGAGCTCATGACCCACGTGGGTGGCTCCATTGGCTTCTGGCAAGGGGTGAGTGAGACGCAGTGGGTGGGGTTGGGATGCAACGGTGGGGGTTATGATGCGGTGGTGAGCGTTGAGATGTGGTGGTGAGGCGGTGAGATGCGGTGGTGAGGGTTGCAGACGTGCTGGGTGTAGGTTCTATACTCTCACCCTCCCCCTTCCCTTCTGTTCCCTCCCACTCCCGTCTCCACCCTCCCACCATCAGCACGTGAGGCGGCCCACAGATGATTTGGAGGCCCTCAAGCCCATCCTGCCTTGCTCACCCTCCCTTCTGTCTCCTTCCTTTGCTGCCCCTCTACTTCTTTCCCTTCCCTTCCTTTCCTTACCCCTCCCTCCATCAGGACGTGAGGAAGCTCACAGACGACTTGTAGGCCCTCAAGCCAACCTTCCCTCGCACACCCTTCTCCCCCCCTCCTTTCCCTTCTTTTCTGTAACCTTCTTCCATTCACCACCAGGACGTGAGGAAGCTCACAGACGACTTGGAGGCCCTCAAGCCAACCTTCTTCTGTGGAGTGCCGCGCATCTTTGACCGCATCCACTCGGGTACGGCCCCATCCCTCCCCTGATTTGACTTAAAAAAATCTCCCCTTACTTGACAGCATCCATTCGTGTAGGCCCATCCCTGTCCCCTCTCGCCGCACCTTGTTCACTCCGAGCACCCTCCTCGGCCTTCCCTCTGCCCCTCGCACGGGGGGCGTCACCAAGTTGCTGTTCGACTATGCCTACAGCAGCAAGAGATCTAGACTGCAAGCACTTTAAACTCTCCATCTTTCCTCTCTCTCCCCTTGGCCCCATCCCAGCTGTGATATCAAAGATCGAGTCAACAGGGGTCCTCCTCACCAAGTTGCTCTTGACCCCTCCATCCCCTCCTCTTTGACTATGCCAACAGCAGCAAGCAATCGAGGCTGGCTAATTCAACCACTCCATCCCCTCTGTGCTCCTCCCCTCCCAGCTGTCATCTCCAAGATCGAGTCAACAGGCGGGCTCACCAAGATGCTGTTCGACTATGCCTACAGCAGCAAGCAAGCACGGCTGGCTGATGCTACCCCTCCATCCCCTCTGCACCCTCTCCTAGCCGTGGTTTCTAAGATTGAGTAAACAGGCGGGCTCACCAAGATGCTGTTTGACTATGCCTACAGCAGCAAGCAAGCACGGCTGGCTCATACTACCCCTCCATCCCCTCTGCACCCTCTCCCAGCTGTCATCTCAAAGATTGAGTCTACGGGCGGCCTCACCAAGATGCTGTTTGACTATGCCTACAGCAGCAAGCAGGCTCGGCTGGCAGCAGGGGTGAAAATTCGCGACGCCACGCCCATCTTTGACTTCCTTGTCTTCAACAAGGTGAGTGGCTGTGAGTGGGTGGGAGGGATAACTGCGGATGGTGGGTGGGAGGGACAGCTGCGGATGGGTGGGTGGGAGGAGGGTTCTGAGCCCATGAAAAGGTTGCAAGCAAGCAAGCGCGGCTGGCAGCAGGGGTGAAGATGCGAGATGTCACGCCCATCTTTGACTTCCTCGTTTTCAGCAAGGTGAGTTGAGGGGGGAATCTTGTTGAGTCCCTTGGAAAGGTTGCAAGTAAGCAAGCAAGGCTGGCAGCAGGGGTGAAGATCCGATTCGCCACGCCGCTCTTTGACTTCCTTGTTTTCAGCAAGGTGAGTGGGTGGGCCGGCATGAGGGTGCATGTGTACTCTGAGAGGTGCCTTGAACACGCACAGGTGGCAGCGGCAGCAGGGGTGAAGGTTCGAGACGCCACGCCCATATTCGACTTGCTTGTGTTCAACAAGGTGAGTGGGTGTGGGTGGGAGAAGGGAGGTGCATGTGCGTTTGTAGAGGTGCCTTGAACAATGAACACGTGTGGCTGGCAGCAGGGGTGACGATCCGCGACACCACGCCCATCTTTGACTTCCTGGTTTTCAACAAGGTGAGCTGGCTGTGGATGGGTGGGTGGGAGGAGGGTTCTGAGCCCATGACAAGGTTGCAAGCAAGCAAGCGCGCTGGCAGCAGCGGTGAAGATGCGAGACGCCACGCCCATATTCGACTTCCTCGTCTTCAACAAGGTGGGTAAGAGAGGTGAGGTGTGCATGTTCTTTGTTTTGGAAGCCTTGAACACACACACACAGCTGGCAGCAGGGGTGAAGATCCGAGACGCCACAACCATCTTTGATTTGCTCGTGTTCAACAAGGTGAGTGGGTGTGAGTGGGAGAAGGGAGGTGCATGTGCGTTTGTAGAGGTGCCTTGAACAATGATTACGTGCGGCTGGCAGCAGGGGTGAAGATCCCTGATGTCACGCCCATCTTTGACTTGCTTGTGTTCAACAAGGTGAGTGGGTGGGTGGGTGGGTGGGCTCGAAGGTGCATGTGGGAGAACGGCTGTAGACTGTTTTTTAGATTTCTAAAAAACAGTCTAGCCTTTTCCGTTAAAAAAAAGTTGAGCTTGAAGTGAAGTGACCTTTGAATCGACTCAAAAGTCACCCCGTTCAACAAGGTGAGCTTTGAAAGGAGCTGACAAATGTCTGAGTCGGCTCACTCAACTGAACCCTGCCGTTTCTCCTCCTGTTGTTCTCTCTTCCCCAGGAGGAAACAGAACTCTCTGTTTCCCCTCCTCCATGGTACGATTCGCCCTGTTCGTCTCTCCCCCCACACCTCGTCACCTCCGCAGGTCAACTCGCGGCTGGGTGGCAACGTGCGGATTCTCTGCTTTTTGAGGCGCCTCAAAATGCATCTCAAAATGCATCTCAAAATGCATCTCACTACTCGCGGCTGGGTGGCAATGTGCGGATTCTCTGCTTCAGCTTTCTCTCACGTGGGTGACTAAACTTGCCAGTGCCTGTCTGTGTCCCCCTCCCACATCTCTACCCCCTTCCTTCAGATCAAGTCGCGGCTGGGTGGCAACATGCGGATTATCTGCTCACATGCCATCTCACTGGCCCCTCACTCATGTGGAGTTTTTTAGCCACTTTGACTTGATTTCTACCTTGTACCTCTCCCTATTTTGCCCCCATATCTCAACCCCACACCTCTCCCCTCTCGATAGATCAAGGCGCGGCTGGGCGGTAACGTGTGGATTATCTGCTCCGTCTCTCTCTCATCTGGGGATTACAGAATTGACTATACTTGCTTCTGCCCTTGTCTGTCTGTGTCTCCCTCCCAAATCACTACCCCCTTCCTTCAGATCAAGTCGCGGCTGGCCGGCAACATGCGGATTATCTGCTCCGTCTCTCTCTCATCTGGGGACTACAGAATTGACTATACTTGCGTCTGCCCTTGTCTGTCTGTGTCTCCCTCCCACATCTCTACCCCCTTCCTTCAGATCAATGCACGGCTGGGTGGCAACGTGCGATTATCTGCTCTGGCGCCGCCCCTCTAGCCCCTCACGTGGAGGTTGTTGAGTCGACTCAACATGCTTTTACCCGTCCCTCCCTCCGTCGCTCTCCCTAATCCGCACTCTACATTTCTCTCCCACTCTCTCTCTCCCCGATCTGATTCCCATGTTCTCTCACATGGCAGGTCAAGTCGCGGCTGGGTGGCAACGTGCGGATTATCTGCTCGGGAGCTGCCCCACTGGCCCCTCACGTGGAGGAGTTTCTCAAGATCGCCATGTGCTGCCCCGTGGTGCAGGGGTATGGTGAGTTTGAGAGCGGTAACAGTGAGGTTGAGAGGGGTATAGTGAGGTTGCTGCTAATTGACTGGCTTTTAGAGTGGTACATTGCGGTGCAGCCTCACTGGCCCCTCGCGTGTAAGGAGTTATCTCAAGATCCTTGTGCTGCTGCCCCGTGGTGCAGGGGTATGGTAAGTTTAATAGCGGTACATTGAGGTCGAGAGGGGTACGGTGAGGTTGTTGCCAAATGACTGGCTTATAGAGTAGTGCAATGCGGTGTTGCCCCACTAGTCCCTAAAGGGTAGGAGTTTCTCATAATCGCCATGTGCTGCCTCGTGGTGCAGGGGTATGGTGAGTGTGATCCTATGCGTATAAGGTGGTTTGGATTGGATCAAACGACTTGGTGGGGTGCAGTGCTGCCTTTCTCCTCCTTGTTCGTCTCGCCCCACGCATGGATAGAGGTCCTATGATTGCCATGTGCTGCCTCGTGCTTCTTCCCACACCAACACGAGTGGCTTCATCCAAGACGCGGATCGCATCGAGCAGGCTGGCACCGTCAGCCCGCCCATGCCCACGCTTTGAACACTTGTCAATTCATCTCACCCAAATGCCCTTCCAAACATCCCCCACGCCCTCTCCTCCAGGCCTCACCGAGACCAACACGAGCGGGTTCATCTCGTACGCGGATCGCATCGAGCAGGCCGGCACAGTCGGCCCGCCCATGCCCACCCGGTCAAGACCCTCATCTCAGTCCCCATGCCCATCATCTCACCCCAATGCCCCTCACATCACAACCCTCCCTCCCTTCCTTCCCCCAGGTCTCACCGAGACCAACACGAGCGGGTTCATCTCGTACGCGGATCGCATCGAGCAGGCCGGCACCGTTGGCCCGCCCATGCCCACCAGCCCATTTCCCTCCTCCTCTTATTTCACGCAACTGCCCTTAAACCCCCTCCCCCCCAATCTCCCAGGTCTCACCGAGACCAACACGAGCGGCTTCATCTCATATGCTGATCGCATCGAGCAGGCCGGCACGGTCGGCCCGCCCATGCCCACGCTGGAAACCCGCCTCGAATCCATCCCGGAAATGAACTACGACGCAATCGGGTCAACAACCAAGCAGGAAGGAGAATCAGGGAGCACAGGGGGGGGAGACTCAGGGGAGGCGCAGGCGCATCCCCCGCGGGGGGAGGTGTGCATTCGCGGGCCGATTCTGTTCTCGGGGTATTACAAGAGGGAAGATTTGACCAAGGAGGCGGTGGATGGGGAGGGGTGGTTCCACACGGGTGACATCGGCGAGTGGCAGGCGGATGGATCGATGAAGATTATTGACAGGAAGAAGAATATTTTCAAGCTGGCTCAGGGGGAGTATGTTGCTGTGGAGAATCTTGAGAATGTCTTCGGGAACTGCTCGGCTATTGATATGGTGAGTGGTTGGTGGGGATGGGGAGTGGTGGACATCGGCGAGTGGCAGGCGGATGGGGCGATGAAGATCATCGATCGGAAGAAGGACATTTTCAAGTTGGCGCAAGGGGAGTATGTGGCTGTGGAGAACGTGTTTGGCAACTGCTCGGCAATCGACATGGTGAGTGGTGGGCTGGTGTGTGGGTGTATGGCAACAGCTTCGAGGCAGTGCTGGTGGCGGTTGTGGTGCCAAACAAGCCAATGCTGCTCGAGTGGGCCAAGGGGGCTGGCGTGGAGGGGGACTATGCTGCCTGCACTGTGCGCCCATCTACCACTCCTTCACTCTCACCCCTCTCCTGCTCTCTTACCCACTCATGTCAACACTTGCAGGTGTGGGTGTATGGCAACAGCTTCGAGGCGGTGCTGGTGGCGGTGGTGGTGCCAAACAAGCCGACTCTTCTCGAGTGGGCCAAGGGGGCGGGTGTGGAGGGGGACTATGCTGCTCTCTGCGCCACTGAGGAGGCGAAGAAGTTTATTCTTGGGCAGCTGACCGAAACGGGAAAGAAGGGCAAGGTGAGAGGGACAGAAGGGGGGGAGAGATAGAACGCAGTTGAGGTAACAGGGGAGGAGAGGCGGGCATTTATATCACCTGTATGTTGTGACTTGACTCCCCTTCTCGCGCCCGAGTGGGCCAAGGGGGCGGGGCGGGCGTGGAGGGGGATTATGTTGCTCTGTGTGCCACCGAAGAGGCGAAGAAGTTTATTCTCGGGCAGCTGACTGAAACGCGCAAGAAGGGCAAGGTAAGTTTTCCGGGCTGCCCTTGATTCGTTTTTATTTCATCCATTCACCCCGCATCACCCTTCACACTACACGTGCTTTCTACCATACTACACTATACCCACTCTGCGCACGAGCTCGAGGGCTTGTGAGATGGAAGAAGCGGTGCATATGGAGTTGTTGATTAGCGGGGCGTCAATCTAGATAGTTTCCTTTCCCTCCCCCATTCCCCGTTGCCCTTTTGGTTCCCCTGTGCCCTGTGCCCTGTGCCCCCATGTGCACCAGCTGAAGGGCTTTGGTGACTTTTGAGTCAACTTAAAAGTCATCTCACTATAATGCCATTCCCCTTCGCCCTTTTGGTTCCCATGTGCCCTGTGTCCCCATGTGCTTCAGCTGAAGGGCTTTGAGATGGTGAAGGCGGTGCATCTAGAGTCACAGCCCTTCGACATGGAGAGGGATCTGCTCACCCCATCGCTGCTCTTCCCCGCCTTCCTTTCTCCGTGGCCCGTGTATCCCTGTGCCCGGTCGCTCTCCCCTGTCACCAGCTGAAGGGCTTTGAGATGGTGAAGGCGGTGCATCTGGAGTCACAGCCCTTCGACATGGAGAGGGACCTGCTCACGCCCACGTTCAAGAAGAAGCGCCCGCAGCTGCTCAAGTACTACCAGGTGGGTGGCTTGTTGTGATGATCCCTGCACCAGTGCACTAGGCACCGGTGCTCCTTGCATCTCCCCACGCTCACTTTCTAGAAGAAGCGCCCGCAGCTGCTCAAGTACTACCAGGTGGGTTCAGTGGTCAGGTATTGACGTGCATGGCGGCTTTAGTGCCGTGGCTGGTGTGTAGTCAAGCTGTGTGACATCTCTGAGAAGCGTCAGTAAGTCCTTTGACATGGAGAGGGATCTGCTCACGCCCACATTCAAGAAGAAGCGCCCGCAGCTGCTCAAGTACTACCAGGTGGGTTGCCTGCAGTGATGATTCCTACACCAGTGTTTCTTGTACCTGCTGACGCCCACGTTCAAGAAGAAGCGCCCTCAGCTGCTCAAGTACTACCAGGTGGGTTCAGTGTTAAGGCGGGTGGCAACACTTTGGTGTGCATGCAGACGTGCATGCTCGGTTCTGTGGTCGGTGTATTGTCGAGTTTGATTTATTCTCACAACTGCCCTTCTTGTCCCTACCCTTCTTTTCTATGCCCCCCTTGCCTTTGCCCCCCTTGCCTCTGCCCCCCTTGCCTCTGCTCCCCTTGCCTCTGCCCCCCTTGCCTCTGCCCCCCTTGCCTCTGCCCTCCTCTCTTCTGCCCACCACCAGGCACAAATCCACGCCATGTATGCAGGTCTAAAGAAGTAAAACCTTGAAGTTTTGATGTTCAGCCCAAAAAGTGAGGAGAGGAGCTCTGGAAAGGTGACGCTTCTGTGAATGGAAGCTTCGAAGAAGTGTATTTCGGCCCTTGTTACGAACCCAACTTATAGGGGAGCATGCGAGAAACAGTGGGTGAGCAATGGGCGTATAGGGGAGATTGAGTGAGGTGGACTCAAATTGCTTCTTCGTACTTGTGCTTCATGTGACTACCGTGTTTGTACCTATTGTATAGTTCTAGAGAACCTTGGCCATGTACCTTTAGAGGTTGTGCTTATTGCTTGTACTATAGTGATGTGCAATGGTACAACCTGTAATAGGAATATCAGTACGTTAGTCATATGAGAAACTAATGTGATAGAATACCAGACGATTTCCATCCTGCTTGGACATACATGCTATGATTCCTTTCCTGCAATAATACTATTACTAAACTCACCGTAATGCGTATGTAAATATATCGGAGCACAACTTAATACCGGTACAAGGGTAAAGAATCGTTGTCTATACCTGTGCGCATAACTCCGGCTCGCATCCTCCTAATCAGCCCCTGCTTCCCGCCACACGCGGCCGAGCATCTCGCGCCGTTCTTGAAAAGACCAGATGTGGGGAAATCCGAGCAACGCGTGAAATCCGTGTCGCTTCGATTCCGACCGTTGCACATTTATTATTCCTGATGGTGGGAGATACGCGGGTGGGCGATAGAGGGGGAGGAGCTACGCGGAGAAGTGATAGTGTGGCGAGTGAAACGCGGTCGGGCGATGGAGGTGCGGCGGATAGCGCAAGTCGCGGTAGCACGACCGGCACGACCGCCGCACCCGTCGCGGCAGTACAGGAGCTGGGTGCTCGAAGCCATGATACCGCGGTTCAGAGCGGTGCTGAGAGGTGCATTGAGGCGGCGTTAGCGGACGATTTGTTAAATAGCGCAGGTGCGGCGGATAGCGCAAGCCGAGGCGACACGGCTGTGACGGCAGCTCAGGGGTCTCAAGCGGTCCAGAGCGGTGCTGGGGGGTGCATCGAAGGGGTTGCGGCGGATAGCGCAAGCCGTGGCGGCACGGCCGTGACGGTAGCTCATGGGTCTCGAGACCATCATACCACGGCGGTTCAGAACGGTGCTGAGGGATGCAAGGGGGAGGGGGAAGATGAGGGCAGGGAGGCGGAGAGCGCAGGCGGGGCGGAGCAGAGTTTACCGGACGGGGAAGCGCCTTCCGCGGGGGTTACTCCCGGACGAGGCGCAGTGGCGGAGGGTTCAGGGGAGAGACTGGGGGAAGGATTGGCGGAGGATTTGGCGGAGCGGATCCGCGCGCTGGTGGACGTGGCGGACATGGGCGCAGTGCGGGAGGCGCAAGGGGAGAGGTGAGTACGTGCGGGACGAGCGGGATGAGTGGAGGGCGCAGGGGAGGGCGCCGCGGGAACATTTACTTTCAACGCCTTTTCGTTCAAGGCTATGAAATGCTTTCCAGGCTTTTTAACGTCTGTGCTCTCCACTGGCTAGCTCTCCCCCACCCGCTCCTTTTTCCCCCCACCCTTTTTTCCCCCGCACCCTGCACCCCGCACCCCCCATGGCAGTCTAGGAGCGTTACAGGACGCGGCAGGTATCTTGGCGCATTTTAACGCCTTTTCGCTGAAGGCGCTCGCTTCTCAGCCCCTGCCACGCGCATTGACTGTTATTTCCCCGTGTCCCTCTCCCCTTCTCCCCTCCACCCACCAGCCTAGGCGCGTTACAGGACACAGCGGCCATTTTGGCGCATTTCAACGCCTTCTCGCTCAAAGCGTTGGCGTCTGAAGCCCCTGCCATGCGCGCCCATACTGCTGCCTTACACGCCTTACAGAGTGACCTCATGCGTTCGTTCCGGAAAATCAGGTGCGGGGGAGGGGAGTGGGGTGGAAGTAGGTTCTCGCTCAAGGCGCTGGCGTCTGAAGCCCCTGCCATGCGCGCCCATACTGCCGTCCTGCATGCCCTACAAAGCGACCTCATGCGCTCATTCAGAAAAATCAGGTGTGAAGAGGGAGGGTTGGGGGTGGGGAGAGGGACGGGGAGGCGGGTTCTCACTCAAGGCGCTGGCGTCTGAAGCCCCTGCCATGCGCGCCCACACTGCTGCCTTAAACGCCTTACAGAGTGACCTCATGCGCTCGTTCCGCAAAATCAGGTTTGCGACGAGGAGGGTGATCAAGGGTGGGGGTTGAGGGGGGTTTTGCCTCAAGGCTCTCGCGTCTGAAGCCCCTGCCATGCGTGCCCACACCGCCACCCTGCAAGCCCTACAGCGCTCGTTCTGGAAATTCAGGTTCGCGGGGTGGGGTTGGTGTGGGCTGGGAGAAAAGTTAAGGGGGAGGGTGGGGGAAGGGAAGGTGAGTCGCTGGCGTGTGCACACCGCCACCCTGCTCTCATTGCACGCCTATTTCTCATGCGCTCGTTCCGAAAAAGGGGTTGGGGTTTGCGGGAGTGGGTTCTGGCTTTCAGAGCCCCTGCCATGCGCGCCCACACCACCGCCCTGCTCTTATTGCACGCCTTTTTCATGCGCTCGGTTTGACGCATCAGGTGTGGTGGGAGGGAGGAAGGGAAGGTAGCTGGAGGTTGTAAGCAGAGGATCACGTGGGTTTGATCCTAAACTGCCTAAAATAAAGCAGTGCTACCTGAATGTGACTGAGAGTTTTTCACTTCGCGGAAAATTGACCACATGAGCTTGAATTGGACGGTTTGTGGCATGAGCATTACCTAAATATGTCGAACGTGCTTGCTGTGCCTTTCTCTGCACTGCCCTGCTGTACTGTACCGTACGTGCATGCAGGGAAATGAAGGCGAAATTGAGAAAGGCATTTCCAAATGCATTTGAGGTCAGTGGTGGGTTCTGACTTAGCTCTTAACGGGTCAAGGTAAGTTGGGGTTTCTGAGTTGTATTTTTTTTGTTAGCATGCTCTCTTCCTCCGCTTGTCTTTTAAAGCGTCTCAAAAGCTGACTCCCGTTGTGCCCCGATGTTCCTCCGTGGGTTCTTCCCTTAACAGGTCGACCAGCACATCCCATCTCATTGCTTTCTCCCTGTCAATCCACTGCTACCATCCCCCTCATTGCTCCCAGGAAGCAGAGGAGATAGTGGCATTGCAGCCGGAATTGCAGGAGCGAAGGCAATTACTCACCGCCAATTTTTGCACCACCCTCACCATCTCTCTCTCTCTCTCTCTCTCTCTCTCTCTCTCTCTCTCTCTCTCTCTCTCTCTCTCTCTCTCTCTCTCTCTCTCTCTCTCTCTCTCTCTCTCTCTCTCTCTCTCTCTCTCTCTCTCCACCACCTCTACCATCCCCCTTATTGCTCCCAGGAAGCAGAGGAGATAGTGGTATTGCAGCCGGGATTGCAAGTGGAGGAGGAGTGAATGCCAGCACTCACCAACCCCACCGACTCTGTTTTGCTATCACCACCACTGCTATCCCCCTCATTGTTTTTAGGAGGCAGCGGAGATAGTGGCATTGCAGCCGGGATTGCAAGAGGATGAGGAGGATGAGTAAAGGGGAGTACTCACCACCAACCAACTCCTGCATCCTTCACTTCTTCTGTTTCTCCCTCACCACCACCACCACTACCACCCCCCTCAATGCTCCCAGGAAGCAGCAGATGTGGTGGCATTGCAGCCGGGATTGCAAGTGGATGAGGAGGAAGGATGAGTGAAAGGGAGCACGGTACTGACTGAACCATCTCTGCAGTGTATATATCAACCTGTAATCTGTCTCTGCACTGTACATAGGCCTGTAATATCATCTGTGCAAATGATTCCTGCAATGATATTACCGGAAGAGGAAGTTATAGAGTTTTGGCAGAACCTTGGCTGGCAGGACCTAGATTGTATTCAGAACTTCGCCCCTGATTGTTCAGTGCTGCCAGCTTGTCTTACCCTGATTCTTCAGGATTGTTACTGAATACTGTAGGTTAATTGAATCCAATATAGCCCTGATTCTCACAAGCAGCAGTTACAAGCAGCAGCCACAAGCAGCAGTCACGTCACAAGCAGCAGTCGCAAGGCAGCAGTCACTAGCAGCAGTCAATGAGCAGGCAGCAGTCATGAGCGGGCAGCAGTGACAGCACATGAAGCCACGTGCCAGATCGGGCAGCTGAGCAGAAAAGGTGCATGCTGCAAAGGCAGGCAGTCACACAGAGAGCAACTGAGGAAGCAGGCAGTCAGACGGAGAGTGCCAGGAGACCAGAAAATTATTCACTGACTTGACTGACATGCACGGGCAGTTCACTGACTTGACTGACATGCGCGGGCACAAAGTGCACATGCAACCATGTGGCAATTCAGGCAGCTGGGGAAGCAAACGGGATGGTGCAAATGCAATGTGCTCAGAGAACAACCATTAACTGACAGAGAGAGTGCCAGGAGACTGAAGGAGCTCACTGACAGTAAGAGCAGCAAATGCACGCACATGCAACCATGTGGCAGATCAGGCAGCTGGGGAAGCAAACGGGATGGTGTGAACACAGAAAGAAGAATGCAAAAGAACGACCATGAACTCACAAGGAGAGTGCCAGGAGACCAGAGCAACTCACCGATGCATGTCGCAATGGCAAGTGGCAGAAAAGGGAAATACAGAGAAATCACTTAAGACATACATGTCGCAATGGCAAGTAGCAGAAAAAGGAACTACAGAGAAACCACTTAAGACAATTACCCAAAAGGGAGCAGCAAACCGAAGGAGTTGAGGAACGGAGCAGAGGCAAGAGGACAAGTAGCAGGTGCGGAAAAGAGAAGATGAGGGGGTGAGCGGGAGAGGGAATTGAGGAGAGCTGTGAGATGACGGGCAGGGGCAGGAGGAACGACGGATGGTTAGAGGAGCAGGAGAGAGGGGAGGAGGGGGGGGGGAGAGGGTGAGGGTGGGAGAGGGTCTGGAGAGAGGTGATTGGGAATGAGAAGATGACGGGTGAGCGGAGGGGGATTGTGGGTTGGTTGGAAGAAGGGACTGGAGAGAGGGGATGGGTGGGAAAAGGTAATGAGGAGTGTATAAGTGGGGTTGATGAGGGGTGAGCGGGGGGAAGGGGAGGGGAGGGCAGGGGGGTTCGTTGATGATTAGGGCGTGAGACATGGCGAGGGGAGTGAGTAAGTTGAGCAGTGAAGCGGGGAGAGTGGGAGCGGAGAGGAGGGAAGGGAGATGAGGGGTGAGAGCGGGGTGGGAGAAGAGTGGGGGAGGGGAAGAGTGGTGTGGAGTTTAGGGTTGGGTGCAAAAAGGGGGGAGAAAGGAAACGCGACGAGATAAGCGGAGCACGCAGGGAAAAGAGGGAGAGGGAGTGGGGGAGTGGGGGATGGGGGAGCGGGGGAGATGAGGGGAGAGCGCTGAAGAAGAGGGACAGAGCGGGGAAGATGAGGGGAGAGCTTGAGGGATGCGGGATGGGTTACGATTCTAGAGGGGAGGGAGGGGTACGAAAGCACGAGGAGGGGAAAGGGGGAAACTTAGGGGAAAGAGGCCACTCCGCCTGTCACCTCTTGCCAGTCCTCTTTTTTTTTTTTTTTTTTTTTTACTCCGATAAGGACTTCCACAGGTCGATACCCCCCCCCCTCCGCTCCCTTACCTCTCCCCTCCCCTTCCGACTTCCTCTTTTCCACAGTTGTGCGCATCGTGCCTTGCGTTCGTATCATGCGTTTGCATGATAAGTCTCGAGCGATACAAACTTGAAATGAATGTGTCCGCATTTTTTTTTTCTTCGACCCGAAATCACTCTCTAAAAAAAAAACCGTAACGACTGTATCTGCAAATCGGCGCACAAAAATTAGTACCGCAGATGAGCTATATAATCCTCAGATCTTACCAGTACATATAAACGCCAATCACCACTACTGGCGCGAATCTGGAGAGAGCAACTAACAGCACCTTACTAAGATCAGCAATAGTAACCGCACTAAATATGTGAAGCGGCGAACGCTGAAGTAGGACTGAAGCGCGATTGAGACTAGCTACGGTACTGAGATCTAACGAGTTGCGGAAACAAGATCAGAGACTCCATGGGAAAAAGAACTACCGCTTTTGCCTCCAAAAATCAGTAAGCGACGGCAGCGAGATGAACGATGACAGGAAAACTAATACTCGCTGACTTGATGTAAGGGGAGAGTAACTATCAGAACTGCATAATGCTGAAAGAGGAGAATTAGGTATGGCAGGTGAGATTGCGAGGTCGGGGTTGTCGATTCATGCCTTGGTTCTTGCGCGAGGGTGACAGAGACATTCGGTGCTGCCGTGGAAACACCCTTCATTCCTATTGGCTAGCTAAATTTCTTCAGGATCACATTCATATTTCCAGCTGCCCAAGTCAGGCTCGGAGGAGCAAAATGAAACGCGGAGAAAAGCTAAACTTTCCGCGCCACGCAAGATTTCTCGAACCATCCCTCCGCCGTCCCGCACCTTACGCAAGACTCACGGAAAAACTCGTAGTTTAATATTTTAGGGAAGCGCCACGTCAACCACCTCTTAGAAAGTTCAAGCCTGCCCTGCCCTTACTTCTTTGTACCCACAGTTCCCAACCAACCTCACCCAAGCGATACGCGCCCTCAGCAGATTCGTTTGCAGAAAGAACAATACAACCATATATACGAAATTTACCCTGTTTGTGAAATAAAATGTACTGGTTTTGGTTGGGGATTCGGTTCGGAAATTCTGGCCGCCATTTGCCAGACCATGCGGCTCGGAATATCCGTCCAAGCCACTTCGTAGGCGGGTATTTTGAAATCGCCACTGCAGGGTTGACCCACCCTGACAGGGAGTACCTTCAGCCGCTTTGCGGCTTTGACCCATCACATTTGGGTTGGAGTCGCGCTGTTTTGCGCCGTGGTGCCGCCAACCAACAAGCTATCTCGTTCTGGTTCAGTTGCTTCATCCTCCTCCTCACCCTCAACTCACCTCTGCCGTAAAGTCCCATTTGTGGCGTTCATTTCCAGTTTCTTCCTTCACGAATTCAATGAAGGATTTCCAGTACAGCTCCAACTTATTGAGCTCCTTTTGAACTTCAAGTTACTCGCTCCTCGGAGCAAACCAAAGCTATCTGAAGCCACCCGGCTAGTGAATGGGGAAAGCCTAGGCATGCGGCAGCGTTAGGTCGCGTAGAGAGTCTCGTGTAGAATAGCGTGGTTGGGGGGTTGGGTAGATTAGAGTCTGAGCGAGCTGCCAAGTGCCTATGGCTGAACCATTCACAAAACCGGGTTTACGCGGCAAGTTTTTCACCGCGACGAATTCAAGATATCACCGCAACATTTGCATGGCGAGATCCTCACTACAAGATCTTCACGCCAAAAACTTCCACGGTTATATCTTCGCAGCGAGATCTTAATGGCGACGCCTCCGCTTCAAGATCGCTGCTGCAAGAGCTTCAAGACCTTCAAGGGCTTCAGGAGCTTCAAGTGCTTCAAGGGCTTCAAGTGCTCCAAGTGGTCCAAGTGCTTCATGAGCTTCAAGAGCTTCAGGTGTCGCATGGCGCCTCCCCTGCTGGCGCGGCCGTCATGACCAAGTCTCACGAGTCGGTAAGTCCTTTTTTTTCAACTCCTTGCTGCAACCATTTCTTGGCAAGTTAGGTTCTGATTGGTTCAACATAGTTCAAGTTTTAATCTGATTTTCTTTCCTTCCGCAGACCTCTCGGCGGAGACATGAATCGCCGACGCTAACACTTGAGCCCTCTATGTATAACACGGGGTTTTCGCGGCAAATTCAAGATTCCGCAGCGAGATCTGCATGGCGACAATAACTTCCGCGGCGACATCTTCGCGGCTCCGCTCCGGCCTTCACCACCAACACAAAGACTGTCGAGTGGAGGTAAGCGGCAACTATTTCGACTTCGTTCTGTCACTCAATGCCTCGACATTGTTCAACAGATTCTGACCTG